TTTTTCCTGCCATCGCATTGGAGGCATCTGTTCCAATTTGGATTGGAGGGAAAGAAGAGGGAGAAGAGGGACTGTACTGTTTCCTCCCAGGAGCTCTATGTCAGGAGGTAGCACATGTTTTAATGACATCAGAGTCTCACGGGGGTGGAGGAAACCCCTCACTGAAAAGAACCAATTGGCAGGGCACCTACTGGATATCATGGGCACAGCTAGTTCTAGATCTATCTTGGCTCCAATGCTGACTCGGTGTCAGTGATTTGACAGAGGCAGAAGGGAAGTTTATCAATATGCTGAAGAAGAAAATATACTTTGAAGTCTTTGTCAGTTTACTCAAAGAAGTTATTATTATTTTTATTTGAGACAGGGTTTCTCTGTGTATCTCTGGCTGTCCTGGAACTCACTTTGTAGACTATGTTGGCTTGGAACTCAGAGATCTGCCTCCCAAGTGCTGGGATTTAAGGTGTGCAAGCACTACTGCCTGGCCTCAGAAGAGTTGAAAACGGAGGGAGATAAACATGAACCTCAGATGTGTGGGTAAGGCATTGAGCTTCTGAACTTAGAGGCAGGACTTGAATAATCAGAGGTACATTCCTTCTTGCCTGGATGTCTGCTTCCTTGTCTGTAAATTCATAATAACAATATCTTCTCTAGCCTCTAGGTTATTGTAAAAATTAATGAACATAGAAATTTCTTTCTGTACAAATGTAAGGAAATGTGGTTATGAGTAATTACAAAAATACATTAAAAGCCACATACAAATAACGAGGTAATGTGCTTTAAAAACTAATGTTGAAGCTATGCATGGTGGTGCATGCCTGTCACCTATCACTGGGAAGCCTAAACAGGGGAATCTGAGTGTAAGGCCAGTGTGGGCTACATAATATCTTTAAAAAAAAAAAAAAAGAGAGAGAGAGACCAAAGGTCATGTGAGATGGCTCAGCAGGTTAAGGTACTTGTCGCCAAGTCTGATGACCCAAGTTCTCGTAACCTGGTGAAAGGAAAGAAGCAACTTCTGGCAGCTGTCCTCTGGCAGCTGTCCTCTGATCTCCACTGTGCACACTAGTATGAACACACATGGAATAAATACTGAATAAATGAATAGATAAACAGGTTAAATAGCTTATCAAAAGACATGCATCAATGGAACAGAAGTAAACCTGCACTCACAGTCAACTGTTTTCAACAAAGTCACTGAGAACATATATTGGAGAAAAAAAACTTAAAAAAAATAAATAGTACTGAAAAATTTAGATCTCCAAATGAAGTGAGATTCCTGTACTCTCATCAGCTATAAAAAAACAACTCAAAACGGATTAAACACATAGATATAAAACCAACCACTGTGAAACTATGACAATAAACTACGTAAACACTAGAAGAAAACAGGGAAGGCAGACTCAGATGTTGGAATGGAGAAGGTTTAAGGTAAGACATGAAAATCACAGGAAGCAAAAACAAAACAGACAAATGGGATTGTATCATGTGAAAGATCGTATGTACAGCAAAGCAACAGCTAAGAGAGTGAAGGATAACCCAAGGCTGTGAGAAAATAAAATGTCTGAATGCTGTGTATCTGTAAGGGGGTTAATATCAGAGTATACAAGGAAAACAATCCTAATATTCTTATGAAACTACAATAAACAAACAAACAAAGAAAGAAGATGAACCATAAAGCCCAAACAAGAACTAGAAACAATAACCAAAGCAATATTGAGCAAGAGCCCACCAAACCACAAAGCATTACACTACTTGAAAAATATATTGTCGGAGCTATAGTAATTACAATGTTATAGGTGACTGGATGTGAAGGCTACTGATGGACTCCTTACCTAGTATGCATGAAGCCCTGGATTCTGTTACCACTATCACAAAACAGGTGGTACACACCTGCCATTCCCAAAGTAGGGAGATGGGGACAGGAGGATCAGAAGTTCAGTGTCACCCTCAGCTACATAAAACGTTAGAAACCCCATTTCAAAAAAGTGAAACACAGACACACAAACTCAAAAACTAGTTGTGTGGTGGCCCACATAAGCAATCAATAAGCTGAAGGCATGAAAGAGGACATTGGGTAAAATGGTCATGAGTTGAAGGCCAGTCTGGACTTTATAGAAAGACCCTCTCTCCAAAAAAACAAACTGTCCAACAAACAACAACCAGTCCAAACCAAAACCAATAACAGAGGCTAGGCTGAAAGCTCAGTTAAATGTGTGTTTGCTGCCCAAGCAGGCAGATCTAAGTTTGGATTTCTGACATCTGTGCAAAGAGCCAAGGCCAAGGCCCTGTTCCTTGTAAGAAGCAGAGGCATGTAGCTCACACTTTGCTAGCCATCCAGCTTAGCCTGAATATGTTAGCTCCAGATTCGGTGAGTGACCTTGTTTCAGAGAATAAAACGGGTAGACTGAGGAAACCGGTGTGCACATACATTTCCACCGTGTCTGCACCTGCATGCACATACGGAGCTCATGAGCCCGGGGCTTTCCGGCACTTGGACTTTTCTTAATTCTGTCAAAGGGAATGGCTTTTGGATCAAGAACTGTTAGATTCGTTACTTTGAAATCTCTGCTCCAATATAGTCTGCTCCCTGAAACGTGGAGAAAGTCTTAAAGATTTTGCTGGAAAAGAGCTAAAATCATCTTTCTGGGGAGGAAAAACCTGAGGGGTCAAGAGGCCTTCAGAGGAGGAGGGACTGCCTTACAACCAAGTTCCTGACAAGAAGGTGAGTGGCCGGACACCCGCTTAACTGGGAAATTGTGGAAGACAGAAATTGCCACTTAGTCCTGTTGAGTGGAGTGGCACTGCACAGGAGGCAGAGTGAAAAGAGGGCTGGCAACCTGAGCCGCCTGGAGGTCGCCTCGTGGCAAATGCATTAACCTCCCAGAGGAGCTGAAGTGCGGAGGGAGCGAGGTGCAGCGTGGAGCAAAGAAAGTGGCCCGAGCATCCAGCCAAGTGAATCTCGCTATAGAGCGCTGTCCACCAAGGCACCTTGGAAATGACTTTGAAATCCGACCAGCTTATTCCCTAGAACTGCTCAGAAGGAAGAACTAATATAGAGGAGAAAAACAATTTAAAAAAATTAATGAAAGACAAAACAAAAAGCCAAAGTTTCCAAATTTCTTACATTGTGTCTTTCTTGGGCTGTAAGGCATCAGTTATCCATGCAACTATTAATTAAATATAGTCACCTAACAGAGTAGCAAAGGCTAGCCCCCTCGGAGGAAAGTTTTGCATTACAAGGAAAGGCCCACCTTGACTTTAAAGAGACAACCATCAGAGTGAGCCCTGCTTCACAGTTACATTAAAGGGGTATCTTATGCAAAGAAAGAAAAAGAGGAAACAGTTTTACTCACCTCTCTTCCCTGTGGGATTCCAAGAATTTGGAGCATAAGCAGAACAGAAAAATGCCACTGTGTTACACAGTATTTGCAAAGAAACCAACAGGATAGTTCCCATTTCACTGTAGCTCAGATTAAGGTGATGTTTCTGTGCCCTGAGCATTTCAGTGAAGTCAATTGTAGGTTATGGATTAAAAAGCAAGTAGCATCTGTATTTTAATTGTGCTTGACTTTAACAAGTGTGTTTAGCAACCACATTGACTATATTAAAAACAACAAATTTTAATTACTATGAAATATATGGGGATATTAGCTGAACCTGTTTAGCTGGAACACATACTGAAATGGGATATTTGGTCAGAGTAAAACCAATTTAGAAAGGCCTTAGACTCTGATGATAATCTCTTTCAGACCAAGACAAAGACGACAAAACATACCTATATTTTATCATATGATCATTTTCTTTGTAGCATAGCGGTTATGTTAGCCTAGAAAACATCCTCCTGGGAATTCATTTCAAATTATTGAAGCAGCTGTTTCTTCAGTTTAAAATAAAATATCCATAACAAGTTCACACATGACAGATGCAAGCTAAAAACTAGATTCCACAGTGTGAGCTAAAAGCAGATGTTTTGAATGATCATATTTATAACCAGATACAATAAATCTTAGTTGCCTGTAGTAATACTCTTTTCTAAGAATTTGCTTAAATATAGGCCCTGTAGTTTCTCATATTTTCTGAGAACTGGATTCCATTAAACATAAATATTCTTTAAATTCATATATATCTGATCTGTTTTCTTTCGGCTTATTACATCTGCTTCCTCAAAAATAGAAGCACTTTTAGGGCACCAAAATTTATTGTGTTTATTTAATTCTACATATTTCTTCCATTTAACTCAAAACCAGAAAATCGTTTTTGTAGATAAAGTCACAACTATAGAAAAGAGAATTTTAAGTCTTAGAATAAGCAAGATGGCGAGAGACCATTCCAGGTCTGCAGGGAATGTCGATATATAATTAGAACTTTAAAAACACTGGCTAGTTGGGGACCAAGGACCGGGCACAGGTTCCTTCCAAGCAGGGCAAAACAATAATAACAACAACCACCAAAGATTTAATGAAAACAAAGTTTGATGTGAAAGGGAAGAGTACAGTCAGTTATACAATTACGAATGTTTTTTTCTTATAAAGCTCATCACAAATTTCCCATTTAGTGTTCACTGGCCCACATTTTCAAACAAAATGATCATATTACAGGACATAAAACAAAACTTATTTTGCATCCTAACAGGGGTGCGTTCCAGCTCTGCTAGTATGTTTAAGCATCTTGGGGACAGCTCCCAAGCTTTCCTACGCGTCCTTATTGTGTCATTGTTGTAAAAAACAGATACAAAATCACACACACACACACACACACACACACACACACACACACACACACAC